TCTATAGTAATAGATCCGACATGTACTCTTGCATTATGCACCATAGGTGTGATCCCACGACTCACTCTCCCTCCATTTGACTTCCCCCTCCCCTCCCATTGCCCCTCCTCCCTTCTTTATCTTGGGCCATAGTTGTGATCTATTCTTCAAATGAAGGTGTGATTGTAAACTAGTTTCATAATAGTACTTTGGATATTTTTCTTCCATTCTTTTTTTTTTTTATTGAATGGTAACTATGTACATTAATGCACTTCTGGGGTACAATGTGGGGTTTTCACATGCAATCCAAACTACTTCCATCAAACTGGTCAACACAGCCTTCATGTCATTTTCTCAGTTATTGTTTTGAAACATTCACATTTTACTGTTAGAAAGATTCACTTGTACCCCTATAAGATAAACCTCAGAAGTGATCACTCCAAACCCCCTCCCTCCACCCATTCCTCCCTCCCTTCTCCCTCCCCTCTCCCCATATTCTTAGGCTATTTGGTTATAGCTTTCATATAAAAGGTATAAATTAGTTTCATAATAGGGGTGTGTACATTGGATACTTTTTCCTCCATTCTTGTGATACTTTGCTCAGAAGAACATTAGAACATGTTCCAGCTCCATCCATGTAAATGTAAAAGAGGTAAAGTCTCCATCTTTTTTAAGGCTGCATAGTATTCCATGATATACATATATCACAATTTATTAATCCATTCATGGGTCGATGGGTACCTGGGCTTCTTCTATTACTTCGCTATTATGAATTGAGCTGCAATGAACAATCTGGTGAAAATATCTTTATTATAAAGTGATTTTTGGTCTTTTGGATATATACCTAGTAGGGGAATTGCAGGATCAGATGGCAGGTCTACTTTTAGATCTACTTTTAGATCCCTGAGTATTCTCCATACTTCTTTCCAAAAAGGGCATATTAGCTTGCACTCCCACCAGAAGTGCAGAAGTGTTCCCTTTTCTCCACATCCACTCCAACATATGTAGTTTTGGCATTTTGTTATGCAATCCACTCTTATGGGAGTTAGATGACATCTCAAAGTGATTTGGATTTGCATTTCTCTGATGATTAAAAATGATGAGCATTTTTGCCTGTGACTGTATGCCATGCACCTATCTTCTTCAGAGAAGCTTGTTCAAATCTCTTGCCCACAATGAAATGGGATTTTTTGTTCTTTTCTTATTAATAAGTTTGAGTTCTCCGTGGATTCTGGTTATCAAACCTTTGTCAGAAGCATAACCTGCAAATATCCTCTCCCATTCCAAGGGCTGTCTGTTTGTTTTACTTACTGTGTTCTTGGCAGTGCAGAAACTTTTTAGCTTGATCAGATCTCAGTAATGTATTTTTGGTGTTGCTTCAATTGCCCGGAGGATCCTCCTCACAAAGTGTTCTCCCAGGCCAATTTCTTCAAGTGTTTCTCCTGCACTCTCTCCAAAAATCTTTATCATTTCATGTCTTAAGTTTAAATCTTTTATCAAATGAGAGTCAATTTTTGTCAGTGGTGAAAGGTGTGGGTCCAATTTCAGTCTTCTACAAGTCACCAGCCAATTCACCCAGAACCATTTGTTAAATAGGGAATCTTTCCCCCAATTTATATTTTTGATAGACTTATCAAAGATGAAATGACATTGGCTCAGCGCCTGTGGGTCAAGCGGCTAAGGCACCAGCCACATACACCTAAGGTGGCGGGTTCGAATCCCTAGCCCGGGCCCGCCAAACAACAATGATGGCTGCAACCAAAAAATGGCCAGGCGTTGTTGCGGATGCCTGTAGTCCCAGCTACTTGGGAGGCTGAGGCAGGAAACTCGCTTGAGCCCAGGAGTTGGAGGTTGCTGTGAGCTGTGATGCCATGGCACTCTACCCAGGGGAATAGCTTGAGGCTCCATCTCAAAAAAAAAAAAAAAAAAAGATAAAATGACATTAAGTGTCTGGGTTCATTTCTTGGTTCTCAATTCTGTTCCATACATCTACCTCTCTATTTTTGTGCCAATACCATGTTGTTTTGATCACTATAGATTTATACTATAGTTTGAAGTCTGGTAGCATGATTCCTCCTTACTTGTTTTTATTTTTGAGTAATGTCTTGACTATTTGAGGTTTTTTCTGATTCCATATAAAATGAAGTACTATTTCCAATTGATGATATTATGGACTTAGTTTTCTATTTTTGGTTAAGTTGGCCAAAGGTTTATCAATTTTGTTGAATTTTTCAAAAAGCCAACTTTTTAATTCATTGATCTTTTGAATAATTCTTTTTTATTTCATTTAATTTGGCTCTAATTTTAGTTCTTTCTTTTCTTCTGCTAGGTTTGGGATTAGAATATTCTTCCTTTTCTAGTTGCTTAAGATGTCCCATTAAGTTATTGACTTCCTCTCTTTCCATTCTTTTGATGAAGGCTTGCAACACTATAAATTTCCCTCTTAGGACTGCCTTTGTGGTATCCCAGAGGTTCTGATAATTCGTGTCTTCATTATTGTTTTGTTCCAAAAATTTGGGAGTTTCCTTCTTAATTTAATTTATGACCCAGTTATCATTCAGCATAAGGTTCTTTAGTTTCCATGTCTTTGTATGAGTATGTAGATACCTGTTATTGGTGAGTTCAACTTTTATTGAGTGATGATCTGAGAAAATACAAGGAATAATTTCTATACTTTTAAATTTGCTGAGGTTAAACTTATGACCTAAGATGTGATCAATTTTGGAGGATGTTCCATGGGCTGATGAGAAGAATATGTATTCAGTTTTGTTAGGATGAAAAGTGTAGATGTCTATTAAATTTGATTGTTGTATGGTGAAGTTTAAATCCAGAATTTCTTTGCTTAGTTTCTTCTTGGAAGATCTATCTAACACTGCCAAAGGTGTGTTAAAATTTCCAACTATTATGGTGTTGTAAGATATTAAATTGCTCATGTCTGTTACAGTCTCCCTTATATTCTGGTTGAGTGCATAAAGGTTAATAATTGACATCTCATCATGTTGAGTATTTCCTTTAACAAATATGAAGTGACCATCCTTGTATTGCCTTACTTTTGTTGGTTTAAAGCCTAGTGTATCTCTGAATAAAATTGCCACCCCTGCTTTTTTCTGATTTCCATTTGCCTGGATTACAGATGCCCATCCCTTCACCCTGAGTCTATATTTATCATTTAAGGTAAGATGAGATTCTTGTATGCAGTAGATGCCTGGCCTGAGTTTTTGTATCCAGTCAGCCAACCTGTGCCTCTTAAGAGGACAGTTTAAGCTGTTCACATTACTTGAGAGTATTGATAGGCCTGGTAGTATATTGGGTGTCAAGTTTTTCAAAAGTCCAGTGGACATTTTGAATCTTTTTACCACTGTGGAGATTGGGTTTTGGTCAAGAATTTCAGAGTGAGTTTATTTTGGTGGTAGAGCATTGTGCTGGTCATTATGGAGAATGGGCCTGAGGATATCCTGAAGAGCTGGTTTGATCCCATTTTTTAATCCTGTCACTGTACTAACTCAATTTCAATGTGAATATTGAAGGGGACAAGCAATCAAACCACAGCAAATAGGATGATATTAAATGAATCCACAAGATATAATGAAAGCAAAATTGAAGGGAGAGCTGGTTAGGGAATGAAATTAAAGAGAAATTTAAGAGGATAAATTGAAAAGACATGATGTACCAAATTCACATTAGGAAGAAGAAGGATGAGTAGGAAACCTATTGACGTAGAAGTATGGTTACACAATTTAGTAGGACAGAAATTATAGGAGGAAGGGAAACTTAATATACAAAGTTGAAAGGTGTGAAATCTCATCTCACCTGCTATGGAAAGACATGTCCTAAAGGTGGTTAGGGGAAAACATAACATTGATAAAGCATTGATATAGAGCTTTTGTGTCTGTAGACACAGATGTAGATGGCATCACCATATTCATATAATAGAAAGAGGATATTAACAAAGGAACATGATCAGTTAGATGTGAGTGAGAAGCATAACCCAGGTTAAGCATCAAGCAGCAGCGTGGGACTGATTACTGATTTTTTGCTTCAGACTTTTCACATTCCCTTTTTAATCTTAGGTGTAAGACTTGATGAAGGTTATGAAAAATGTATCCCAAAGGTAAACCAACTAGACAAACTGTTAAAATTGTGTTCTTGGTTTACTTTTATTACCGTATATTTCCTAATTATATCATATAATTACTGTATATTTTCTAATATGCAGGAAAGCCTGAAGGTACTTGCATATATAATAACAGCCATTATCAGATATGTGCGCCCCCCAGTGGCCCAGCTTTTTGCTATAATCCTTCTGAACCCTCAGAGCAAACTGAATTTGCTATGTGGAATATTGATATCCCTAGAAAGACAATAACTTAAGTTACAACAGAAGGTATACCTAAACAAATAAAAATATCAGTAATAACAATTTTGCAATATATTCAGACATGTCTTTTTATATTTTTAATAATAACGAGAAGTTTTCCATGTAGAAATACTATATATTTTTGAAGAATTATTTCTATGTATTTCACATTTTATGTTGCAATGTTAACTTTAATTCTCTACATTGACCTTAAAAATACAGAATAATGGTAAATATTTTTAAAAATGCAAATAAAAAAGAAAAGAGTTTCCAGGGAACCAGCAAAATCTCAGAAAGAAAAGTTAAAAAAAAATAATAATAAGTATCAAGCTATCAAACTAATGTATATTTTTGAATTCCATCTCTCAGTTTAGTACTTTCCATGCAACTAATTATGCGTAACAGGAAGTGCCCATTCAGGCTATGAAGTTGCAACTCATCCTGGCAATTAGGAAGGAAATCTATGTTGAGAACAGCCATGATGATGTCTTCACACACATACACAAAAAAGTATTAGCAAAGATTATATGTTGGAGCAATGGAAGAAGGGGATGAAAAAGACTTGAACCCTTGCATTATTAGTCTACTGACCCTTCTAAACACTTGGCTAACACTTCCTAAGGACAACAAAATCAGGCTAATTGAGTGTCTATTTTTCACACAGTAATGGCGACAGCAGGAGACACCCCAGATAAGCCTGTGCTCAAGGACAAAAAGAAGCCAGATCTACAAGAGATGCTGGAAAAAGTAGGTCTGAGTGTTGATTTCTGGCTTTCGAAGCTGCAGAAAGACCTGGATGTGACCTGTGCCCAGGCCTTACAACACCTAGAAGAAAAAGACCTCCAGAAGTTGAAAACTCAGGCACGACATTCATGGGAGAAAAAGGCCCTGGAAAAGCTTCTGAACCTGTCAAATAGTGAGTCAGAGTTACAGAAGTCTCGGATAGAGATAGCAAAGGAAAATCAGAAGCAGGCAGAAAATGCACTGAAGGACATGAAGAACTTGATTTCACAAGGAAAGCAACAAGAGGCAGAGGCAGTAAAGAAAAAAGAAGCAGAACTGAGGCAAGCAACAAATATCCCTGAGAAGTGCGGGCCATCTTCTGAAAAGCCCCTAAGGGAAGTCATACACGATATGCAGAATCAACTACAACTCAGAGACATGGCTCTATCCCAGCATCAAAATCTCCCAGATAAAGATCTGCTAAGATGGGTATCTGGAGGTTTGGCCCTCCAGGGAATTTACAAAACCACCCACCAAAGGAACTTGATACAGAAGAGAGAGGAGCTACTCAAAGTCCCCAAAGACTTCTCCCTCTGTGGCCCTCAGCAGGGCACACGGATGGAAACAGTAGAATTTAGATCTTCTCAAGAAGAATTCATGTTCACCCAGACAATAGAGAAACTGGGATTCAGTGCAACTGCTGCAGCCAAGGGTGGAGGTTGGGGATTTAGTCTAGAAGCTGTTTTGGGTCACAGCAAACATTCAGAATCCATGAAAACTCAACAAACACATTGTGAGAAATCTTATTTCTGCTCAACCAAGTTCAGCTACATCCCCCTGGCCTCCTTCCATTTCTCCAAGGATCAGCTCCAGTTATCCGAGGCTGCTCTCCAAGAATTAAAATACATTGAAGACCTTCTGGATCAGACAACAGACCCTGGAAGATCCTCCTCACTAAGACAAAAGACTAAAGCCTTCTTCCACAGATTTGGCTCTCATGCTAACCAAGGCCCTCTGCACCTGGGGGGCATCTACTGGTGGAAGGCCATTTCAGAGGGTTTCCAGAGAGAACAGCTGGAAGAAGTAAAAGAGCAGTCAGCAAAGGCCCTAGATATGTTCATAAGCGGCAGCCACAATAACGGGGTGGTGGAAGCTTCTGCAGGTATGAATGTGTCAAACTCTGATTCAAAAACAACCTCTCAAAAAAACACTTCCAAAAATCTCCAAGCCAAAGTCCAATTATGTGCAGCCCAGACAGGTGGCCCACCAGAAGCAAATGGCCTTGTCCAGTGGAGAGCTGGTCTCATTGCCAGCAATAGAACCTGGTATATCATTGACCGGGAAATTCAGCTAGAACCCATTTGGGAAATCCTCCCGTTTAGCCACAGAAATGATTTTAAGGATCCTATTCAGGTGGCCAAGTACCTGGAAGCCTGCTACACTGATCTAACTAGACCTCCTGCCCACATACAGGACGAAGAAAAATTACAAAATGATTGGGAAAAGGCGAGGGCTTTTTTACAGGATGAGAAATCTTGGGAGATACCTGATCGTGAAGAACAGCTTCAAAAGTTGATGAATTTCAAGCAAAAATTGAGTGATCAAACAGAAAGTTATGATTCTTGGATTAACATATGCCTCACAGATTGGGATCTGCAGAATTTTCTGGTAAATACTGTCGACATTTGCAAAAAGACTTCCAATCATAAAACTGCATATATTAAATCTCAGTTGCGCAGCCTTCTGGATCCTCACATCTACAGAGTAGCAAACTTTCCTCAGGCTCACTCCATCATGCAGTGGATCTTCCATTCAGAGTCAGAGGAAGAACATCTCAACATTTCCCAATTTTCTGAATTAATGAAAGTCTTAAGAAAAATCCACAATGACCTCATGGAAGCAAAGGTCAAATCAGCATCCCAAGAAATACTGAACTCTCAAAGAAAGGCCACCAATGAGGTCACCATGGCTCTCAGCTGTTTCTTAAAATGCCTCCAAGAAACAGAGCAATCAGACATACAGCTTTTGATACTTTCCATTGCAACTGGTGTAGGGTATGATGAGGAAAACAAAACTTTCCAGTATCCCTTGGGGAGTGATAAGGTGAACTTCCTAATAAATGAAATGCAAACTGCACAAACTAAATATCAGGAGCTCAGAAATATTTGCAGCTATAGGGCTCAGGCATTCGTGGTACTCACAGGCCTGACAGCCACAGCTGGAGACACAGCTATTTCTCCAAAAGAGAAAACACAGCGTATGGCATTAACAAGATGCCACCTGAGAAAGTCAATTACTAAAGAAGTTGCACATGTTCTCACCAAACATGGAGCAGATTGTAATTGGGGAAACCTAGAGAAAGATTTAAAATTGCTCATTGATGGAGATTTTGAAGCCACCATCTCGTTCTTGCAAATAGATGAAGTGCGAAAACAATTACAGAGTCTTTTCCAGGGAAAGAAACAGCCCCATAAAACACATGAAAATAAAAATAACAAATCAGAGGTGATGGAAAATGGAGCCTTCCTGGAATTACTCCAGCGTCTAGGTCTAGAACATTATTACCCAAAAAAGATGAGCAAAGCTAACTTCCATCTGATCTACAAGACTTCTGTGTACAACACCCAGCCTAGCTCTGAACAGGACCTTCCCTTCTACTTCCTGCAGAAGCTACTGATGCTAGATTATAAGCTCAGGTACCTGGTTTTCAAAGATGATAGAAACACAGAACAACAAGTCTATTCAAGTGCCTCAAATCAGGAACATGAGGGGTTCGATCCATATGAAGACTTTCCTGAAGACTGTGATAGTGCCATTAAGCCTTCAGCCACCACACCTAGACCCCACATTCACCCAATGGATATCCAAATGGCAATATTTCACTGTGCAGATGATTTTGCCCGACAGTATATTTTGGACAAACTTTCCCTTTGTCAGTTTGCCCTTCCCCTTGTGGTGCCTAATCCTTGCACTGCTCAAATTGAATTTTCTCTCTGGTCTCTCAGACAAATTAGGAAAAGTTGGCAACAAGGGAAGAAGAACAGTTACAAAAATCAGCAGATGTGCCATGTCTCTACCCCTATTGTGTCCTTTATTAGAGTTGGAAATGGCCTCTTGGCTTCCAAATCTCAAATCATGAACTGTCTTCTCAGTAAACATAAACATGATGTGTTTTTTCACCGACACTGCAGAGGAAGCAGCAAAGACTGTCTCTTGATGAGGGGTGTAGTAGAAATCTGTTGGTTCTGTCCTGGGGGGGGAGAAGAGGACAGGTTTGACAACTGTGTGACCTTCACCAATCTTCGTGGAGATGCAAAGGAACATGAGCAGCAGCTCACCTTCCTGAAGGAGGTCTCTTCTCTCATTGTGGTCCTCATGTCATCTTCTGATCTCAATAAGGAAAACCGAAAGATTGTCTATGACCTGTGCCGCTCATCAAGACCTTTGATCTGCTTGCTTGATGACAAAGAAAAAACCATGGCCAATAATTCTGGCCAAAAAGTGAAAATTGGCATCAGGAATAGAAATAAAGCAGAATTAACAGAAGAGCTCACAACTACGATCAGACGTTTGCTAGAGCTCTCAGGCAGGGCTCTCAGCTTACAGGACTGTTCCCAGATTGCTCACAGACAAGGATTCCTTATTGATGAATGCCAGACAGAGTGTAAGGAAGCCAAAGAAAAAGCACAGTTTCTGGTGTCCCATATGGGAGAGATGAATTTATCTCAGATGAAGGTAAACTTACTCCCCCTTCAGGGGCAACTGTGGCACCTCTGGTGTAAGAAGGACAAAGAACTGTATCACCTGAGAGAAAAGGGAAATCGAAGTATTGAACAACATAGGAGTGAGATTGAGACAGACAAGCAAATAATACGGTATCAACAGCTGAGTAGAGCCTTTCCTCTCAATGATTTAATGCAATCTTTCCTTCAAATTCTCTGTGAACACTCAGAAACTCACACCAAACTCTATTTCTTGCAGTGGCTGAGTGTGTTTTTAGATAATCTGACTGCAGGGCACTTGGAAAATCTGCCTGAGAAACAAAGATCTTTGTGGTCACCAGTTCCAACAGAAAAGAAAGAGGCACCTAGAAGGAACTCTCTGCAATATTGGCAACATGAAATAGACGCCATCTCCACAGAGTTTAGTGACTCTACCTTGGGAATTGGACACCTTCTCAGAGAAGTTGGCCAAATTTATGAAGCTCTAGAAGAAGCTTTCTCTGCAAAAGATCCTATTTTTCTCTCCATTCCACTAATTGCTGCAGACCTAATGATATCTGGTATTCCTCTTGAGCTAATGGATGGAGATGCTTCATATGTGCCCTTGAAGTGGATAGCAGCTGTTTTTGACAAAGTCTCTGAGCAACTTGGAGACAAACGTGTGTTTGTTCTCTCTATTGTTGGCCTACAGAGCTCAGGGAAGTCCACCCTGCTCAATGCACTTTTTGGGTTGCAGTTCACTGTGGGTGCAGGCAGGTGTACCAAGGGGGCCTACATGCAGCTCCTCAAGGTGGAGAAGACATTCACAGAGGAACTTGGGTTTGATTTTATGCTAGTTGTGGACACAGAAGGACTTCGATCCCTGGAATTCAGCAACAAAACCCAAAATTGGGACAATGAGTTGGCAACCTTTGTCATAGGACTTGCAAACTTGACTCTGATCAATATTTTTGGGGAGAATCCAGCAGAGATGCAGGATACCCTACAAATAGTTGTCCAAGCCTTTCTGAGGATGAAACAAGTAAAAATCTTCCCAAGTTGCCTCTTTGTCCACCAGAATGTGGAAGAAGTTACAGCTAAAGATCAAATTATGGAAGGACGAAGGTGGCTAGAGCACAGACTAGATGAATCTGCAGCTATCGCTGCTAAACAAGAACAGTGCCCAGATGTAACCTGCTTCAGTGATGTCATAAAGTTTGATGTCAATAGTCACGTCTACTACTTTGCTCACCTCTGGGATGGGAATCCCCCAATGGCCTCTCCCAATCCTCACTATAGCCACAACGTGCAGGAACTGAAAAGCAGAATTCTTCAGATTGCTCAGCAGGAATCCAGGAGAAATATCATGAAAATATCAGATGTAAAATTCCGAGTTCAAGACTTGTGGAGAGCCCTTCTAAATGAGAACTTTATTTTCAGTTTTAGGAACACCCAAGAAGTCATGGCCATGAGCAAACTGGAAACCATGTATAACCACTGGACCTGGGAGCTCAGGAGTCACATGCTGGGCTTGCAGAACCAGTTGATCAACCAGATTCAGAATGGGAAAATTCAGGAACTCAATACAAGCACACTTGAGGCACCAGTTACAGAAAAATATGAAGCTATTAAGCAAGAACTTGAAAAATATTTTAATGAAAACACAGATCGTGAAATATTGGTTCAATGGAAAGCAAATTTTGAAAATAAGCTAAGAAAACTTAAAGAGGATCTTATTTCAGACAGTAAAAGAAAAGCCAATGAACTTATTAGCTTTAAAAAAGGTCAAGAATGGCTGGATAAGAAAAAGACAGGTTATGAAAATCAGTTATTAGAAAAGAGCCAAAAATGGGCTTTAACTGTAAATGGTACAGAATTTAGTGAGGAAGAATTACATGAGAAGTTTAATCAGCTTTGGAAAAAATGGGTCTATGATGTATCCTCAAATCTACCTCAAGTCACAGAGCCTGACATTGATGTGGATTCTGAATGCATCCTTTTGGAGCATTTCCAAAAGAAGTTAAATATGGTGGACATACCGAAAACAAATTCTGGAAATAAGTTTCAAATTAATTATGATGAACATGTAACAGTGAATAAGAACTATGGAACATTAGAGGTCTGTGATAAAGAATCCATTAAGATGACTACTGATAACATTGTTTCGAGATTTCATGCAACTATTAACAACATTTGTAAGCAACAGTGTGATTACAGTCCAGTTCATTTCCATGAAATTTTGAGAATTATAGAAGAGGAAGTGAAATCTGCACCTACAGAGGAAATTTACACATTTACAAATAAATATCTCTTTGACTTATCTTGGTGGTTATTCCAAAAAGCATCAGAGAATTTTAAGGAAATGCATAGGGTATTTAAGACAGCGAATGATCCTGTATATTACCTGGAAAGCAAGAAAGCTGATTTCTTCATGAGTTTTAAGATCTCCTGCCAAGGAGCAACCTCCATCAAAACATTTGTTGATTTTCTGTGGCAGAAGCTCACCCCTGCCATCACCACCACCATACAGAAAAACCTGACCACTAATATTGCTGGGGACATGCGAACTACTTGCTCTGCCTTCAATGGAAACAAGGCAAACCTGGAGAAACACATTCTCATCTCTCTGGCAGAAGAAGAGAACTTTGATAATTACTGGGAATACATTCATAAGCCACAATCATTTTTTAGGAGCTACATTGAAAATCAGACTAAGAGATATTGTTCAGACAGAGGAAGTAAAAAAATAGAGACTTTTTTAAAAATGAATTTAGACAACATCAAGAATCTCATCCTGTCTTCCATTTGTGAAGCGACTGCAGTAGCTAAAGATAAAAATAGCACTGTGTCTGAGTGGCTAGATTTGTTCTGTGATTCCCTGGGAAGCAACTTGATCTTTCCACGAAAAGACTTGAAAAACATTGAACACCAAAAGATAAAAGATATGGAGTTTCTCAAAGAAGCCATGAGTACTGCTCTGGATCCTGCAATGAAGGGAGTAGAACAACACTGCTCAAGTATGCCTGTGGAAACAATAGTTCCTAATATTGAGAAAACCCTCTATGAACAGCTCTGTGGCTGCTTGAAACAGTGTCCTTTCTGTAGAGCAATTTGTACAAACACTATTCCTTACCATGACGGAGACCACATTGTTCCATTCCACCGTCCTCAGGCTGTCAATGGATGGTATAAGGATACAACAGGCCACTTTGTCATTGATTGCTGTACCAGTTCTATAGAAAGCAACAATGCAATAATTTTGAAGAATGGTGAGAAAAGGCTGTATAAGGATTATCGGCAGGCAGGAGGAGATTATGCCGAATGGAAAATTACCACAGATTTATCCACTCACCCATATTGGAAATGGTTTGTCTCTCACTTCAGATCAAAGCTAGAGGAAAAATATCAGAAAAAATTTGAAGGAACAGGTAAAATCCCTGATGCATGGGCAAATATCAGAAAGCAGAAAATGCTAGATGACTTGAAACAACAATAAGAAGGGCCATGAAAGAGCCCTAGTGAAGAGCCCTATCTGAACAAGAGTCCCAGAACCTGAACAGTCCTGAAACAACTTCTCTTCATAATTAGAATCTTCATTATTTCCATTTTTTAAATGAAATGCATAAAAATAAATCAATCACCATTTCAAGAGTTGAAGAGTTTGTGTATAAGAACTTCATTTCTCCCTGTCTCAATTCTTTCTGGCTTAAAAACAAATTACTAAAATATGTGAATAGATGATAAAATCAAATCAAATACACCTAAAAACATCCACTTCATATTCTAAACTATTTTTCTAGATACTGATTCTTATTTTAAAATATATAATGTCTCAGAGAAAGTCATTTTAACAGAGAAAAATCAAAATTATTGCTGGCTGCTACAAATTTCTACAGAATAACTGCACTGATAGTTCAGCCAATGTGCAGGTTTGGGCCAGAAACTACAAGTTGACTTTTTAATTTCTTAAGGAAAATCTTTTCCACCTCTGAAGTTTTGAGGAAAATTTATTAACCCTTAAATGTAAAAACATTCATAGAAAGTTCATGATCCCTGTCCAGGCAGGGTGGCTCACACCTGTAAGCCTAGTATTCTGGGAGGCCCAGGTGGGCAGAGATCCCTTTGAAGCCAGAAAAGCAGCCTACAGGATGTGGTCTGAGAAGCTAAACTGAGCTGACCTAGTCTGCTTAGTGTTCCCCACATACCTTCCATGGTTGTCTGATTAAGGTTTCATCATGACTATGAGAATGTTTATCTCAAAGAGACTTTGGGGGAAGTCGTCACACATAGACAATTAGTATAGGTGTATTGCTCAAGCAAAAGTTACTTTGCTGTTGTTTTCTTAATGATTCTTTTAGATATTTTGTTATGGTAAAGGTTACTTTTATTACTATATTGTTAGAGTGAAGGTTACTTTTACATTATTTGAACATGTTACGCTGTTAGAGTGCAGGCTACTTTGATGTTGTTTTCTGTCAGATAAAGTTAAAATTTTCTAGGTTTGTTTCCTTGTATTTCATTAGAAAAATTAGTAGAAATATAACTGAGGCAGAATAGAATTGAGAGGCTACTCTTGCTGTTCTCTAGAACGGCAGGCCTTCTGATAATAATGGGATGACAAATGGTATTAGGGAGGACAGATAGATGGGGGGGGGGGGGCAATAAAGCTTTTTGGACCTAATTCCCATGTCTGCATTTGACTGACAGTGACAGGTGGCCGAACCTCTTCATCTGGTAACATCTTGAGGTGAAGAGTTTGAGAGCAGTCTGAGCAAGAACAAAACCCTGTCTCTACCAAAAATAGAAAAATCATCCCGGGACCACGGCATTTGTCTGTAGTGCCAGCTACTTGGAAAGCTGAGACAGAAGGATTTCCTGAGCCAAGGAGTGTGAGGTTGCAGTGAGCTATGATGACAACACGGTGCTTTTCTGGGCAACAAAGGGAGAACTTGTCTTAAAATTAAAAAAGAAAGTTCATATTCCCAAGCATAGCAATATTTAGATGCAGTCTGTTCTAGGAAAGAATAAACCAGAGAGTCAACCAGAATAGAGACCATCAATTCAAGAAATATTATCAAGGGTGGCACTTGTGACTCAAAGGAGTAAAGTGCCGGCCCCATAAGCTGGAGGTAGCGGGTTGCAGTTTTTGACCAGCCCCGGCCAAAAACTGCAAAAAAACAAAACAAAAAAGAAGAAATATTATCAAGCAAATGTGGGAAATAGAAAACAAGTAAGTTTCTTTTCATTTAACCATCACGCTCTTCTTCCCTGATAATTTGGCAGTTCCCTGTCCATGCTAAGGAAAAATTGACTGACAAAAGTCTGGTATTTTAAGCCCATTGTTTTATACAAGTCTGAGAACAACTGGCTCCTGGAAGAAAGCTTATGATAGTAAAAAGTACCATTTTAATCAAGTATGTGGGCCTGGTCAAATTTGATTAAAAGCCATTAATGATTTAAGGAAAGACTAGTTTTAAAAAAAGAAATATTAAAATGTATATATAGTATTTAGGCCAGCCAATGTGGCTCATGCCTATAATCCTAGCACTTGAGAGGTTGAGGCAGGAGAATCACTTCAGGCCAGGCATTCAAGCCTGAGTAACATAGTGAGATCCCATCTCTGCAAAAAAATAGAAAATGCAGCCAGATGCACCTGGAGTCCCAGCTACTTTGGAGGCTGGGGTAGGAGGAATGCTTGATCCCAGGAGTTTGAGGCTGCAGTGAGCTATGATGACACCATTTTACACTCTAGTTCAGGCAACAGAGTGAGATGCTATGAAGGAGCAAAGGAAATTTCACTCCAAAATATAACTCCTTCATATAAAGAATATTTTAAATTAAATGCCATTGGAGATCAGGAAATCCCTGATCTACATAAACCTCTATCCCTTTCCCTCTATCTACATAAACCAGGCTAACCCGATCCAAAGATTAAAGGGGGCAACTGATTTTGCTTCCTCTCCCTGTTATCTCAATATATTACAGGAAAGAAAATCAAGAATGATAGCAGGCCTAGCCCAATTTAAAAAAATACCTGTCTGTCAGGTTAATATAATTTATAAAGATAATCATTTCCAAGTCAATATGTCTCCCCATCCATCTGTCCTCCCTAACACCATTTGTCATCCCTAAACAGAATTACCTATAGTCCCCATTTCCCCTCTCCTCCAAAAGGACAGAGATAAAAATATCTAAAATTAAGGGGAATAGTGGGTAATCACATATCACAGGGATATGTAATTGATCTCACGCACGTGGTACTAGTAAATAAAACATTCTTTTATTAATCTGCCATAATTGGGAGTTGATCTTTCACTGAACTTTCAGGAAATGAGCAAGTCTCCCTTTACCCCTACAGAGAGCTGCTGAGCTCTCCTGAAAGCCACGGTGAAGAAAATTGGAGATTTTACCAGCCAATACCATAATAAGATACTTTACTTACCAGTCAGACTCCCAGTTTTTCTAAGAGTCTCTGCGGGCCCTGGTTGAGCAGATGCTAACTGATCATTTTCACTTCTACATTTAAGATTAATGAGAGGAAAGTTTTTGTGGGTGACTAGACTTCTGGGTGACTCTAGTATTGGTATTATTTTTGGTACTGTGTTACATATAAATATTTATATTGTGTGATCCCATCTCCTCTCAAAAATAGCTTTTATTGTTGTTATTGCTTGTTGTTTTTCTTTTGCCAATTGTCTTTCTGTGTTGTTTTTGTCATAAAGCGAGTTACCATAGGGTACAACATGGGCCTAGAACCCCATGAGGCTGCCATTCGAGCTGGCCCTGCAGAATAGTCAGGTACATGGTCCTGGCTAGTCTGGTGTCCCTAAAACAAAATCTGAATGAGGTTTCCCCCTTGCCTGTTGTTTGTCCCTGAGCTTGTCTTGTGACTGAATGAAAATTCTCTCCTCAGTCTCTGCCATCTGGTGTGTGTGTTTTGGGGTGAACATTTCGGGTAGCCAGTCTGAAAAGACTGGGAGTCTGAGACACCTATTGTTCTAAGCAGCATACTCTTTGTACTAAACATGACAAGCTCTACAGGAAGTCTTAAAGTGTCTTATATCTTACCTATTTCTGAGGGTGAATTTTTTGGAAATCTTGGAAACTGTCTTTTCTGTCTCTAAGCCACACCTGTGAAATTAGCACCTGGGTTTTCTATGATTAAACTGCCTTCTCTATGCCCTCTCTAGGCTAACCCTGGAAAATTATCACCTGGGCTTTCTATAAACAGTCACTGGATTGAGTTGCATTTGGAATAAATATACCATTGAGATTAGTGCCAAAAGATGGATTCTTTAAATTAAAATACTTCTAAATTCTCTTAAAAATAAAGATTTAGAGATCTCTTTGAAAATAATTGCCTTATTCATATTAATAGAGAAATTAGATTCAAAGAAAGACAAATAATGTGGCTAGCCTTAAAAATTCTTTTGACAAAATTGAAGAGCAAATATCTGACCTAAAACAAACATAAAATCTTTTGAACACTGTCCTTGCAGGAATAATGACAGAGGCCAATTTGCCTTGCAGACTCATGGTTAATGTTCTGTGCTTTCATCTCAACAGCCTAGGTTTGATTCCTGGGCAGTTCAGGTTTTGATAGCTGCATAACGTTGGCCATTCATTGTGTCCCTTCCCTTCTGTGCACAATTTTTTTTTAATTAAATCATAGCTATGTACATTAATGCAATCATGGGGTACAGTGTGGTGTTTTCATATACAATTTGAAATATTTTCCTCAAACTGGTTAATCTAATGACAAAAGGTTAGCTTTCATGTTATTTTCTTAGTTATTATGTTAAGACATTTATATTCTACTTTTAGAAAGATTCACTTGTACCCTTGTAAGATAAACCATACAGGTGACCCCACCAATCACCCTCCCTCCATTCATCCCCTCTTCCTTTCCTCCCCTCCTGTGCATAGCTTTTGTGCTCATGTATTTTGTAAAGACATAGATGGCTTTTAAATATTTACATATCAATGGTCAGCTAAAAAACTGAGACCTTAAAAAATATGGCTAGAAAAAAAATGTGCATTACACATTTATATTGAGTCTTTTCTTTCTTGGAGTTGCTTTTGTGGCTTTTTTAGATCTTGTAGAAACTGTTCTACACCTCTTTAAATGCACCTGTTGTTTTTTGATTAAGTTACAATGATGGTTAAGGCTTCTTGGTTTCACTTAAAAGGATACTTTAGTTAAGGCAGAAATACCAGCTCTTTATCCTAGCTAAAGTTTGCTCCATTCATCTTCACTCCTTTCTACTCCTTCGTCCTTTGCCAATCACAGTGTTTTGTCCAATCAAAAGTGACCAACAAACTATATTTAAGTAAGACAAGTACTGAACTGTAACCAATCCAGCTGTTTCTATATTTTGTAGTCACTTTCTTTTTCTGTCCATAAATCTTCTTCATCCATCCTATAGCTTTGAAGTCTGCCTGAACCTCCTCTAGCTTAACCGCCCAATTTGTGAATTGCTCTTTATTCAATTAAACTCTGTTAAATTTAATTTTTATCAAAACCATGTTTTGAGATAAAGCTTCCAGGGACCCCCCAGGAGTAAGTAGAATCCAAGCAAAGCACCTGCTGGACCTGTCCTCCTTTGCTCTCTTGTTAAGTGGTTAAGTTCTCTCTCAGATTCCCAAGTGCCACAGAT